AGGACGATGATGATGATGACGAGGAGGAGGAGGAGGAGGAGGAGGAGGAAAAGGAGGAGGAGGATGAGGAAGAGGAGGAGGAGGACGACGACGACAAGGAGGAGCAGGAGCATAGCAGGGTCAGGAGAAGGAGAAGTCTGAGAAGGCAGCGGAGGCGGAGGATGAGGAGGGGAGGGACATGCGGAGAGTCGAGGTGCCGTGCCTAAGAGAGCCTCGGGATTTCCCCCCCCTGGCCGGCGGCCGCGCGCAATCCCTATAGAGACGAGGGAGGCATGGTGAGCGACAGTGATGGTGAATGGTCTGGGTCTCCTCCTCCGACTCATCAGCCTCCGCCTCCTCCTCCTTCCCCTTCCTCCTTCCCCTCCTCCTTCCCCCTCCTCCTTCCTTATTTCCTTCTCCCCTCCTCCTCCATCCTGCTTCCTCCCTTGTTCCACCTGCTCCGTCTTTTGTCACCTCCCGCGCCGTTGCCGCCGCTCTTTTCTCCTCCGCCACCTGCCCTGCTTCCTTCCCATTTTTATTATCCTCGTCTGCCTCCGCCTCCTCTCTTTCTCTTTCTCCCTCTCTTTCTCTCTCTCACCCTTCGTGCAGGATCGTTCAGGCTCCTGCAGGATCTTGCAGGATCTTGCAACGCCTGACTAACCTGGGCCTGGATTTACCCAGGTCAGCAGATCCCCGACGGACGCCCGCGACGGGTTGCGGTCGGGAATTTCGGCTTCGGGTGTCGCTCCGCCGGTTCTGGCCCACCATGCGTCGGCGCGACGCGATAGTTTCGACCGCGCGTAAGAGTGGCCCTTCGCCAGAGTGACCTTTGGTGCGGGCCCCCTGGGACCCCCCCGATGGCGGAACGCGATACGATAGCAGCGGCTTGCGCGCTTGGGCCACTTGGGGTTGGCCCTCCCGCGCCCCACCTAGAGGCCGCGCACCAAAGGTCACTCTTGACTAGGGTCACTCTTGCGTGTAGCCGACTTCCGCGACCCCATGCCGCAGCGTCAACGTCCCGAGCTTTTCCCAGCCTCCCGCCCCGCGGAGCGGAGCGACACACCATCAGCTCGCGGGGCATCGCGTGTCGCCGGGGCGTCCGCCGCGACACGCTAAGCAAAAGTTCTCGACCGTACATGGGGGTGTTCCATGGACCTCGCCTTCGGCGGAGGGCGGAGGAAGGCCAGCAGAAGGTGGCGGAAGCAAAACGGGGGCCAGCTCCGCCAGCGGAAGCTGGCGGCAGGCTGGCGGAAGCCGGCGGAACAGACGCCAACATTGATGGCTTCAGTGCTTCCAGAAGCCGCCACGTGTTCCCAGACTTCGGACGAATCGAGTCTTCCAGTCTCGGGGTTTCTGCTGCGTTTCGGCCTCCAGGGCCTTTCTTCGGGGGCTCCCAAGAGAGGTTGAGGGCTACGCAGGGGTGTGTGTGTGTGGGCACCATGGGCGGGGCCATGAAATCTCTCAGATCTGGTCGCCCCTTCGTCTCTGTTCAATGCGTTCTTTGACCCGCCCTCGTCCGCGCACACGTCTCGGGCCATGGTGCGCCAACGCTCCTTTTGTTCGGGCCTCCCTCGTCGGCGCACCTGGCTGTTCCTGGCTCCGGGGCGGTCCGAAATGGTGCAGGGACGAATGAATGTCCGCGAGGAAGACGCCGAGACCTCGGGAGCCCGTGGGTTGAAAACACAATGCGTCGGAAGGCTGGGCTCGTTTGGTTCCGTGGCCCTCTTGGTGAACAACTGGATCCCCCGGGCGGTTTTCCGGAGGCTCCAGAGGTGCAGCAGGGTAAACGATCAAGAAGCTTGCCATTCTGGTCGCGCCCGTGCGTTCCTTTGGCGACGCGCGCAGGGGCCGACTCGATCTTCTAGGTCGCAGTTCCAAAGCTGGGTCAGCGTTTCAAGTTCTGGGGGCAACGTTCTGAGGGTGGGATAGGCTCAGGGGGGGATGCATCGACCCCCACTGGTCCACTCATCGCCGAAGCGGCCCGATATCCGATAGCCCACCCCGCCCAGGAAAGTGCGGATTCGCTACCCAGGTGTATCGCCGCTCTATCGGCGATGTATCGCCGATTCCAGCTCGATGTTTCCCCTCCTTGGCCGGTCCACCCCCCCAACGTGTCCCCTCAAGTTCTGCGCTTTGAAACCGCTCCTGCCTGAGCCTGGCCCAGGGCTCTTGGCTGATTGTCCAAGTTACCCGCAGGGCAGCGAAGATAATCGCGCGTCGCGTGGTGCGCCGCACACACCTTGGTTACTCCAATTGTATTGCTAGCCCGCTGTATGCACCATCACTACTCACCAAGTTTCCTTCTCCGAGCAGTCTGCCTGGAGCGAGCGCGATGGGCGGCTGCGTGCAAGACGAGAACGCCCTCTCCGCCAACGCGCAGGCTGCGCACCCCTGGCCGCTGAGAAGTAGGAGGAGGAGGGACGAAGAGAATATGCAACATAATTCCAGTGCACACCAGTGTGTGTGTGTGTGTGTGTGTGTGTAAGGAGAGAGGGGGGAATGAAGGGGAAGGGAGAAGTTCGACTAGGAGGGGGAGGAGAGAGGCGGAGGGTGAGAGGGAGGAGCAGGAGTTGGAGGAAGAAGAGGAGGGGGAGGGATGGAGGAGGAAGAGGAGACAGAGGGGGAGGATGATAAGGAGGAAGAGTAGGAAGGAGGAGGGGCGGCGGTGGGAGGATGGAGGATGAAGTAACCAGAGTAAGCCCAAGATTATCAACGGTGCTGCTTCACAACCGTCTCACGCGAGAGTCCTATTATGAAACGGGACCGTATTCCATTTGTGCAGTTGTTGCGTTCTATGCATTCAAGCTTCGGGTGGCTAACTTTCATGAAGGCTCCAGCAAAAGACCGCATTTTGAGAAAGGAGCCGCCCTCTATCTGTGTACGTTGTTGTGCAATGTTCCACTCGTGCTCCGATGTACCGAGGGAAGATCACTCGAGCTCCATATTTTGAGCAGGAGCCACCCTGCATCCGTGTAGCTGTTGCAGGCACGTATGGCGAATGCGCGCGGCGCTAAGGCGATAGCCTTATGTTGAACAGGTGGCGGCCTCCACGTGTTTGATTGTTACGAGATTTAAGCTTCATGATCGTACGTCCAGTCCGCCTACGGACGAGTCTGGTGGTGCGGCAGGGGGGCGAGATTTTAAAGCAGAACGAGGGGATCAAATGATGGAGGAGCGAGAGGAGGACGAGGAGGAGAGGGAGTAGGAAAAGGGAAAAGGAGGAGGAGGAGAAGGAGGCAGATAAGGAAGAAACTAAGGATGTTGCCTTGATACTGCCTGTCTGATCAATTGCGCTGTAAGCGTGTGATCGCAGCCCACGACAGGGGGCGTCACCCATCCCCAAGGCCTATCCTGGGCGACGCGGGGCGGCCTCACGAGAGCTCTCATGAAGTTGGGTGCCGACCTGAGCTCTTCGTCCCGTGGCCTGTCGTGCAAGCCTTGCGCCCTCAGCGATTTCGCGCACGAGCGAACCTCAGCATTGTAGTGGATGCTTCTAAAGGCTTACGGCACAACCGCCGGCCCCTTGAATCGGGGGGAGGGGCGATACCGGGCCATCCGCTTGTGACGAGCCTCTGGGAAGTTTCCATGTGCGTCCTGGCGGCGTCGCGGGGGATCGTCGGCCGTCGAAAGGAGATCACGTGAAGTCTTTGGGCTCCCTGGGACGTCCTGAAGTGTTGTGGGGCTGCCTTGAAGGTCGCTTCGGCCCTCAGTTTTTGGAACAGCTCTCTTCGGGGTTCCTTCAGGGAGCTCTTGTGCTGTCTTGAGGCCACCCGGGGCTGTCTTGGACCGTCCGTTTGCCGTTTTCGACCCTCGAGGCCCTTCTTGGGGACCTCGGCCGTCTTGGCGCCCTCTGGCCTCCAGGGCAGCCACGCGGGGAGGTGAGGGGAGGAGGGTCGGAGGGGATGAGGGTGGGCGGTGGAAGGAGGGGAGAGGCGTGGAGAGCGTCAAGGAGGAGAAGGTGAGAGGGCAGGGGAGGTGAGGGGAGGAGGGTTGGTGCGGGAATGTATGTTCGACGGTGTGGCTTCGCATTATCGACCAGGGGGTGACATTTCCCCCGTTTCCGTTCTCTTCCTGGTGGGGGGTGAGTCTGACCACGAGGGAATGGAGAACGGACGTATGGGCATCCATCGTCGCGTTGTTTTCGCACGTCACATCGCAGATACCACAAGTTTCGGCCCCATCTCGGCACGCAAGCGCGTGCATCAACTTGGCCAGGTTCGCCTGGCTCGTGCAGCGGCGCGTGCAGCTCTCTCCGCAGATGAACACGAACACGCTGGCCATGGCTACGCGCGTTCCCTTCGCTCCTCCCCGCCCCGCCCGACACCCCCTGGCCGTCCTGACCGTGAGGCTGCCACCTGCGACGCGGCCATGGCGGCAAAACCCGGCGACGAGGGCGGGCTCGGTGCGGTGGCGGTGCTGCAGGTGCGTCCGCCTCGCGCGCGTCGCCGTCCTCCTCGCCGCGCTCGTCGTCGCCTTCGTCCCGTCGCTCCTCCGCCCTCCCCTTCCTCGCCCTGCCCCCCCCCTCCCATTCCCGCCACCACTCTCCCGCTCCTGCCTCGCACATCGGACAGCGTCGGCGTGCCCGCGAGGTATCCAGGAGGGAGCGAGGCAGGAGAGGTTTTTTTGGGGGGGGGTTTGGCTTGATGGTGCACACGGTGAGAAACCCTCCCTTGCCTCGCTCCCTCCTGGACACCCCGCGGACGCGCCGACGCTGTCCGGTGTGCCCCCCGCTGCAGTGGGCACGCTCCAGATGGTAAGTCTGCCAGCCGACGCGTGCCCCGGCAGACTCTCCGCGGAGCCCCGGGGCACTCTCCGGTCGACGAGGGGTGTGCCCCGAGACTTCTCGTGGCAAGATCTCTTACTGCACGCGTCTGCGAGTATGGCCCGCCTTCTGAGCGCTCGATAACCGTCGATGTCCCAGAAAATATAGGGAAATATGGGAATTGGGGGGGAAGACAAAAACCCAGAAAATATGGGGAAATATGTGGAATCCAGTTATTTGTATGTATTTGTGTGCCCCAGGGCCCCTTCAGAATACCCTTTCCAGCACCACGAATCAATCGTTCGCTCTTAGCGTGTTCTTCTGGCCCTTGCGCCCTCCTCGGATCGAACTCCCACGGCCCTTCGGCCTGGGCGCGGGGCAAGCCGCCGACGTCTGGCAGGGGGGCCGCCCGCGCATGTCGTACACCGCATGGCGCACAATGTGGGGCCCTCCAGACAGGGCCTAGCTTTCGACGGGTCGAAGGAGTTGATATCTCTTCCTCGGTGGAGGGTCGGCGGAAGCTGGCCAGAGCAAACGGCTGGCGAGAGCCGGCGGAAGTAACAGATACGCCCCCGAGAGATGACAAGTTTCTCTGGACAGCTTGTCTGAAGTTTTCAGATCCCGAGAAACTAATCGGTGTGTTGCCAGATCCCGAATCGGTTAAGCGACGTTGTTTCCCGTGTTTTCCTGTTGTCTCCGGTGGTTTCTCTTTGCCTCCCGTGGCCTCCCATGGCCGTCCCTATCCCTCTATCCCTCCATGCCTCTAAACTTCTACCTTCTATCCCTATCCCAATCCAATCAACCCCTACCACCCAATTATTTAATAACGCAAGTGAGAAAACCCCACGTGTAAGCAATGTTTGGGGAACTGGGGCTCTTTCTCGATACGTCCGCACATTCAATGTTGAACTTGTGAAAGCACTTCGACGGGTGGATTGCTGATATTTTCAAAGCGGGACTATCGTCGAGCACTTCCTCAAATTAACTATTTCATATGAGCTAAAAGTGCTGAGAGGGCGGATTATTGAATCGCTTCGCTCATTCCGCCGGCCCATCCTGTATCAATAGTGCTATATGTGGGCGTGCTCGTGGCGAGCGAGAAGGAGGAGGAGGAGGAGGAGGAGGAGGACGAGGAGGAGGAGGAGGAGGAGGAGGAGGAGGAGGAGGAGGAGGAGGAGGATAGAGGAGGAGGAGGAGGAGGCCTCTCGATGGTTTCTTGGGGCATTTTGGGGCCAAACTTGATCGTGGACAAGACGTCTCTTTGGGCCTCGTAAAGGGGCCTCTTGGGGCCTCTCGGGGGCCTCTTGGGGGCCTCTTGGGGTATCCTAGGGATTTCTCGGAGCCTAGAGCGCGAAGTGTCTGTTCCGGTCCCCCGTCGGGGCCCGCTCTTGGAGCCGTCTTGGGGGCCTCTTGGGCCATTTTGGAGGCTTCTGGGGCTGTCCTGGGGCCTTCTGGGGCCGTTTCGGAGCGCTCTTGGAGGCCTCTTGATCCGAGTTTGGGCGATCTTGGGTTCCTTTTGGGCCGTCTTGGAGCGCCGGTAAGACGAAAAGGCGGGAATGCCAAAATCTTCCAAAACCGAAGGGGAAATCACCAATTTTTGCATCTTCGGGGCCTCTTGGGAGGTGTCTCGAAGGCATCTTGGGGCGTCTTGGGGGCATTGTGGGCCGTTTTGGGGAAATCTTGGGACGCTTTGGAGCGCTCTTGGCCCGGGCCTGTGGGGCATGCCACTTAATTGACTGGAGGCGCTCCTGGAGCGCTCTGGGGTCTTCAAGGCCGCGCCCAGAAGGTCCGGCATCTCTGACCCGACCTTGCCGGGACTCTGCCGGGGATCGCCCGGGGTACTTTTCGCCCGGGGACCCCCGTGTGGCCGCCCCGCGCGCGCGAATTAGAATATTGTTAACCAGCAGCCGGAGATCTTAGCACGCCTCTGGCCCGTTGGGCCGGCGAATTTACTGCGCGGGGCCTCGCCTGAGTGGCAGGCCCACTGCTCCACTGCGCGCTCGTAGCTCGAGGGGGCGCCGCTGCCTGCAGCGGGGTTGAGTACCTGCAGGGACCCATGAGGAGGCGGTATTGCAGAGCCGTCGACGCATCTTGGGTTTGCCCTGGTCGTCGTCGTCGTCCTCCTCCTCCTCCTCTTTCCTCCTCCTCCTCCCCATGTGCGCAAGCAGGGAATGGATACCGCTGGTCCGCGGCAGGTCCCCAGTGCTTTCCCCGGCCCTCTCCACACTGGGGCACATTTGCCCGCAGGGGAGTTCCGTTATTCTCCCGACCTCATATGCCGTGGCGCAGGCATGCGCTTTGGGATGGGGTGCTGATCGTAAGCAGAGTTACGTGAAAGGGGCGGCTGAAGGCGTACAACGTTTGCTCTGCCGGCCCGCATCGGGAGTTCAAGTCCTTCGGCAACACAAGCTGTTCCAAATGCGGAGGTTGGTGCCGTGAGAATCGTCCTGGCGGTGCTGGTCATGGTCACGTTCGCGATGATATCCAGAGTGCTGGCGACGCCAAGGCATGTGATTCCCGTCGCGAAGCTGCAGGTCTTTTGCTCGGCGCGAAGCCTGGTTTACGTGATGGGCTTGCCCAACCCCACAACCTGAGCCAAGGAGTCTTCGGGTGATCAACCCGTCTTACCCGTGCGGTCGAGAGCGCTGCCCGATTCCACCGGCTTGCAGTACAATGTGTTGAAACAAAGAAGCGTCGAACCCACAAAATGCAGGTTCAGTTGGCTGAAGTCTAGGGGTCTCTGGCTCAGGCGGGGCAGCCTGTTACGAGTGGAAGTATGTTCAACTTGGCGCTGATGGGGAATCTCAAACGCTCAATGAAGATGGCGTGGAGGCCAAGCATATCGAAAACCGGCAATCTCGTGAAGCGGCCCGCCGTTGAGCTGCGACGCGGGTCCCACATGTTGAAGTACGCTCTCCCGCACCTGCTGCTGATCCTGAGTCTTGTGCTGGTGTGCCAGCTTCTCCTGTGCGCGAGGTGATCCTGCTCCAGGTGGTGGCCCGCACGGGAACTTGTTTCTCTCCCAATCGCATGGCGTGGCGCAGGCATGCGCCTTGGAATCGGGTAGTGATCATAAGCACAACTAAGAACGCGAAGGGGCACCAGAAGGCTCACAACGTCTGCTCTGCTGGTCCACATCGGGAGTTCATGTCCTGCAGCAACACCTGCTTTTCCAAATGTGGAGGCTGGTGCCGTGTGAATCGCCCTGGTGGTGCTGGTCATGGCCGTGCCCGCGATGATGTCCAGCGGGCTGGCGTCGGATGCGATTCCCGTCGCGAAGCTGCAGCTGTTTTGCGGGGCGCGAAGCCCGACTTACGTGATGGGCGTGCCCAATGTTTGCAAAATGCCCCAGGTACTGCGCCAAGGAGGCTTCGGCTGAACCCGCCCGTCTTACTCGTGCGGTCGAGAGGGCTGCCCAAGCCCATTGGCTTGCAGTACAAGCTGTTGAAGTAAAGAATGATCGAGCCCACGCGATGCAGGTCCAGTTGGCTGAAGCTCAGGGGTCTCTGGCCAGCCAAGATTTCAGACGATGCTCTACTTGGCACTGATGAAGGACTTCAGGTGCCCAGTGGAGATGTCCAAGTGGAAGTCAAGCAGACCGAGGACCGTCGAGCTCGCGACGCGGCCCGCCCCGAAGCTTCTGCGGGGGTTCCACCTGTCGCCTGGCAAACCGATGCGGGTGGAGGACCTGCTTGATTTCGCCAAGGTGGACCTGGCCTATCTGCGCGCTCGCGCCGAGCCCAAGGGCTTGCCGCGCCCCTTCTTCCAACGGTGCCACGCCATGTCCACGCGGCTGCTGCGGGCGGGGGATATGGGCCTGGAGTCCGATGCGGAGTTGGAGATCGACGCCGGCGAGCACGACGGCGCTCCTAGCTAGCCTTGTCGTTGCTGAGCCCAAGACCCTGCGCAAGAGATCTTGCGTGGAGCAGATCTTGCCCGACGATTCGTTCCTCTCGGGGGCTCTCCCAGCAAGGGAGGTCAAGGCCCGCGCCGCCAAGCGAGCCGAGGATGCCGCCGACTCTTGCGCGGCGTAGTTCTGCGAGCCGATCGAAGCAGATGCGGCCACAATTCCCCTGCGCTTGTCACTGGGCGGCTTTGGTTCCTCTTTTTGCGCTACCCCCTCGCGGTGCGCGATTGCTCGCGATGTTTGAATTGAACCAGTCGGCCTGGCCAGGCCGACGCCTTCTTCGCCGCTGAGCATCGCTGCCCGCCTCGCCATGCTAGAGATGCCAAGCGCGCGGTCGCCGCGACGAGGTGGCGGCCGCAACGTTCGCCCGCCGCGGGCGGCGGCGGCGGCGGCCGGGCGGCGGCGGCCGCGGTCTACGGGGGCAGGTTGTGCAAGCGTTTTTCCTTTCGCTCGGTGCGGGCGCGCAGGGTCTGTCCCGTTTTGGGCTGCGTTTGGAATGGCCCCCTGGTGGCTGCTGGATTCGTCCGCGGGGTCGACGGCGTCGGGGCGTTTGGGGCAAGTCTCAGGGGTGCGATGGAGACGTGCGCGTCCGTGAGCGGGTTGTCCGCGCCTCGGCTCTCGGCGGGGAACTTCTGCATCGACGTTGCGTCGCCGGGGCTTCGTGGGCTTCCGAAGGTGACTCAACGCGTTGCTCTGCTTCTTGTCGGGCGCGGCGAGGTGATTGATTATGTTTTCGCGCCTTCGAATTCGGCCCCAGACTCGCGGGTGGGCCAGGGTCGCCGCCGCCGAGGCCATCGGATGCGATTGGCCTGCGCGTTCTGCCGCGAGGCGCAGGGCGGGCCCGCGCGCGGCTGAAGCGCGCCCTCGCGACTCGCTCGTTCACTGCGCGGCGCCTGAAGCGGCGCTCCAGGTTGCGAGGCGAGATGATGAGGCAGCGCGCCAAAGTGCGGAGAGGTCTCTGGGCTGCCAATAAGCGTCGGAAGGGATGGGGTCGGCGAGACCCTGGCGGGACTCCGTTGCGAGGCTCGATAGGGCCAGCCCGAGTTGCCTGAAAGTGAGTCTCGGGGCGCGCGCGCGCTGCCGGCCAAGTTCACGCGGGGGGCGCGGCTGTCGGAGCGTGCCCCTGGGGGCCGGGGGATTTCGCGGGGGTCGGGCCCTGCGCGCTGGATGCCCTGGTCTTGCTGTGCCTGTCCTGCGAAGTGGCCCTGGCGCGGCCCCGCTGGGTTCTAACGGGCGCGGTTTCGCCGCTGCCTCGAAGCGGGGTCGACGGGGGGGTGCATTTGCGAGAACCCTATCCGCTAGATGGGCTTGTATTGAGATCCGGGGGTATTTTCTCTGGGCGAGTGGTGCGGCGCCCGCGCGGGCCCGCGGGGCTGCGACCCGAGGCAGCTCCGCGCCGCGGGCGGTGCAACGGAGAGAGTTGGCGCGTGAGCTGGCGGCCTTCGAGGGCATCGCCTCGGTCGCTGCGCACGGGGTTATGAGGACATGTTTCGGCTCAGTGTCGCCCGTCCCCTTGGTCGGGGTGGCCTTGGAGTTGCAGCCCCCCCAATCGCCCCGTGCGCTCGTGCGCCGATCCACGCCCCCCCCCCCGAGCCTGGTGGATTTTGCTCTGGGGCAATCGACGCATGGGTTGGATCCCTCCGGGGGCGTTCTCAGAGCATGCGTTGGGCCGCGGCTGATCCCCACAGCCAGTTGTTAGACGATGCGCGCGGGCGGTGGGCCCCCAATTTTCTCGCCCAGGGATGCGTTGATCATCTCTCCCATTTTGGCCGGGGGGCCCGGTCTGGAGTCCTCTCCACCCCTTGCTCCTGCCGCCGTGCACTTGCGTCGTGGAGTTGATGCGGTGCGCGTCCAGATCTCGCCTGGGGTGGTCAGTGACCGGCGTCTCTGGCCCCTGAAGGCTGCCCGGGGGCATCGTTCTGCTGGCATGTGCGCTCGGGCCCAGGACGTCGCCCGCGACCTTGGGGCGGCCGCTGCGGCGGGCGGAGGAGCGCGCGCGATTTCGCGCGTTCGGCGAACTCGGGCTGCCAAGACTGCCACGAGCACAGTCCTTGACCCCGCTTTGTGCATGGGCGCCTCGGCCGCGCAGGCCACGTCGGGGGTCTCGGCCGCGGGGGCCCGGGGCCCCGACGTTCCGGGGGCGTCCCCTGCCGGTCTCGGGGCGACGCGGGTCAGGGCGCCGAGCGTGGCGGGCGGTGGGGCCCGGTTGCTTGCGCTGCCGCGCCCGTCCTTTCGGACGGGGGACACGGGCGGCCCGGCGTGCCGTAGTCGGCGCGAACAGTCGGTTTATTTTCGACGCTCGTGCCTCGCCCCTCAGACCATGAAGCACCATGGGCATCTTCAAGCTGCGGGCAGTTGGGGCGCCCGATCTCCGCGCCCCCTCCAGGCCGCATCTGGCGGCGTGTCAAGGGGCCAATTGCCGTTGCTGTTGCCGTTATGCTTGATGTCGGTGGCTGCCAGTTTCTCCGGTGCTCGGGGTCGGCGGCGCTGTCGAGCTCCATCCTGGTCGTGTTTTTTTTTTTTTTTTTTTTTTTTTTTTTTTTTTTTTTTTTTTTTTTTTTTTTTTTTTTTTTTTTTTTTTTTTTTTAAAAAAAAAAAAAAAAAAATAAATATATATATATATATACACATATATATATATAAAAGAGAGAGAAGAGTCGGCGCGAGAGGCGCGTGCGATCAAGCAGCTTGAGCCGATCGGGCACTACGGAACTCCTTGCAGGGACGGCGGGCAGAAGCTTCATAGTGTGCTGCCCCATAAAAGCAAAATGTCGGCGTCGGTTCCCTGTGGGATGGCAAGGGCATCCCGTTTTAGGATGCCCTTGTATATGATGGGGCTTTGGATATGGTTATCGTTCTGGCTCTGGTTCTGGCTCTGGTTCTGGCTCCGGTTCTGGTTCTGGTTCTGGTTATGGCTTTGGTTCTTGTTCTGTCTCTGGTTCAGCTTCTGGTTCTGGCTCTGGTTCTGGCTCAGGCAGTAAATCACGTGCAGACAAGCGGCAGTGTTTTCGGGCGCGGAGGTGGGAACCCATTTTTTGGGTTCCCCGTTGTGCTGTGCTATCCGATCGGCGCTACTGTCGTCTGTCTCATCTGAGCTGGGCTGAGCTGTTCCACAAAGGCCACGGCGCAGCCCGCTGCTCGAGGGAAGTTTGGGCCAGGGCGGCTACGGCGTCGTGATGAATAGGGAATTTAAGTGGAGGAGGAGGAGGAAGAGGAGGAGGAAGAGGAGGAGGCGCCCTGGTGGTACGGATACCAATGCCTCCCTTGATGCGCTGCTCCTCCTCCTCCTCATCGTCGTCCTCCTTCTCCTCCTCCTCCTCATCATCATCATCACCATCATCCCTCATTCCTCTCTTTCTCATCCTCCTCGTCCTCCTCCTCCTCCTTCTTCTCCTCCTTCTCCTCTTACTCATACTCGTCCTCCTCCCCATTACCAAGGGCGTCCAAAAAAAGGATGCCCTCAACGTTAAGACGTTTGGGGCGCCCCAAACACGGGTGCCGTCAAACAGTGCGGGGCGTTGCTTATAAGGGGCATCCTAAAAAGGGATGCCCTCAACGACGAAGCCAAAGCACGACCCAGAGGAATCGCACGTATGCGTCCCAGTGGATAGGCGCCGAAGCACGACCCAGAGGAATCGCACGTATGCGCCCCAGTGGATACGCACCGAAGCACGGCCCAGAGGAATCGCACGTGTGGGGGGCACGAGGGGACACGAGAGGAACACGAGGGGGACACGAGGGGGCACGAGAGAGACACGAGGGAACAGCAGGGGGCACGAGGGGACAGCAGGAGCCCCGAAGGGCTCAGCGCTACTGGCACGAGCCCCGAAAGGCTCAGCGCCGCAAGTACGAACCCCTCCCCTGACCTCTTCCACGAGACTCCTCTCCTGCTCTTCCTCCTCCTCCTCCTCCTCCTCCTCCTCCCCCTCGCCCGCCCAATCAGAATGGCCTCTCGGAGCCGAATCATTGAAACCATAAGAAAAACCAAAAAAAACAATAAAAGCAATAAAAGCAATAAAAACAATAAATGCAATGTTTCGCAAGGATTCGCCTCGCTGTCTGTACTATCCCAGAACATTGCTTTTATTGCTTTTTTTTGCTTTTATTGTTTTTTGTTGTTTTTTTTGGTTTTCTGCGTCTCTGCTCTGGAGCAGGAGTTTTGCTTCTCTGCTTCTGTGCTCTGGAGTTGGCCTCTCAGGCGGGAGCAACACAACACAACACAACTGCAAACCACAACACAACATCATACAACAGAAGAGTACGCATGCAATCACAACATAACATTCTACAACTTCGGGGCAGGAACGCCAGGGGGACCGATATGCCCGTGCACCCATGTATATATATATATATATATATATATATATATATATATATTCTGCGGGAGAAGTTGCGGGGTATTTCTCAGGAAGGGCATTTGGCTGCAGGCTTACGTTCGCTATCTCGGGGGGGGGGTTCCGGGCAGGGTCGATTGCGCTTGTCTGGGGAGCCCAGGGAGAACGCGCAACGGCCTTGACTGCGAGGGGCAAAGCGTCCTCCATAGTGCCTTTGTGGGGGGTTCTGGGCCGAGGCCCATCTGGTCGACTGCGGCTGCGGCGGCGAGGCCCAGGGGGCGCGCGCAAGAGGCGGCGTCAAGCGTGAAACTCAGGAGGGAAAAAACACACAGACACAATTAATCGTCGATTCCCCAGAAAATCTGGGAAACTATGGGAAGTGGGGGGGGGAGAAAAGACAATGCAATATTTGAACTTATTTGGGATCCTGTTATTTGTGTCTATTGATTTGCGTGCTCCAGGGCCCCTTCAGAAACGCCCCATCCATCTTTTCAGGAATTCCAGTTCCAATGGGGTCGCGCCGTCCGCGGCCGTGGAGCGGACGCGGGTTTTACGCCCTCAAGCTTTTCGGGAGGTCGAGGGCTGCCCGGCGCCGTGGCGTCGCTGGCTTGTGCCCCTCAACCGCTCGATTCGTCATTTCCTTCCCCCTCGGCCCAGTTCGGTTCTGGGGGGCCTTCGGTGATCGCTCCTTTCTGGAAGGCGGCGTTCGAGAGATCGACGGAACGGGGCGGGTGGGAAGGGCGCGCTACGGATTGGTTGCTGAAGAGGTGTGGGTGGTCTTGTGTGCGGCTGTGATAGACCCTCAGCGCTGTTGGCGCTTTCATTGCTGGCGCTTTGTCGGGGCCTGTGCTGAATTCGCCCCGTGCAGAGCTCGCATCATTGATTGCGGTCTTGAAGGGCCCTTCTGGGCGAGTCTTTGTTTTCTCTGGTTCATTGGCTGTCGTTCGGAACTCCAGGAAACCTTGCGGTGCTCTTGAAAAGTCTGAGATGATAGACTGGTGGGTGGTGCTGTGGACTTTCCTGGGTGGCAGGCAAGGAGATATCGACCTCGGGTGGACCAAGTCACGCCCGAACTCGGCGCAGGCGGAGGCTCTCGGCTTGATTCAGACCGGGCGCTCGAGGCAGGCGCCAGCGCGGGAGAGGCGGTGGCCCGTGCCATTACTCCAGAGCCTCTTGTCGAGGCCACCCATTCTACTTGCGCATTCCATCGTCATAGCTAGAACGTTGGCTATCCAGCTCGATGTTCTCCTCGCCTGTCCGCGCGAGAGTGCGCAGCACGAGCACGAGCGCGAAAACGAGTGCCTGCGCGTGGCCCGCTGCTTTTTCTTCCCCGTGCGCGTCTGCAGCGGATGGGTTAGCAAGGACGCGGCCCTGACATTTCGAGGATGTCAATTCGATGGTGGATGTGCAGTGCACAATGGCAAATGCACTCTGAAAGGTTTGGCTTCCCAGTTTCAAGCAGGGCCACGTACGGGCTCACGGTTTGTTCATCTTTGCGGGCCTGGCGGGGCTGGTTGGATCCGTGAGGGGGGCGGGAGCAAGGCTGGCCTGCCCGCTCTTGGGGTCGCGTCGGGTCACCGTCGGGCCGTAGTTTGTCACCCGACCCACCGACATCTGGTTTTGAGCGGGTCTTGTCTGTAGAAACTACATGTTGTTCTGTGTCGCGTGCGTGCGTACATTGAGGTTCCCTTGTCCCTATGCTGGCCCCAACCCCCAAACGTTTGGAGGCCCTGCGCAGGCTGGTTGAAGGGTTCCCCCCAGGTCGGGATCGATCTTCCCGCGTGGCTGCCTCTCTTGCTGCGGCCAGGCTGGCATTTGGGAGCCGCGTCTTCTGCTTTACTGCTGCACTTGTCCTTCACTGCCCCCCTCCCTCCCTCCCTCCCCCCCCTCCCTCGCCCGAGAAGAGCGCCGCGAGCAGGCTCCCTCGCCCTGCAGGCCCTCCGCGGCTGCCGCGGCGGGGGGCGGCGGCGACCAGGCCGCGGCGGCGGTGGAACAGCCCCGCGCACCGGGGCACAGCGAGGGGTGGAGGGGGCAAGGGGGGGGAGGGGGGAGCGGGGAGGGGGGGGGGAGGGGGGCAGCACCCTGCGCCCAGGCACGCGGGCGGGGGAGGGGGGACGGGCGACCGGGGGCCGGCGATTTCAAGGGGTGTTGTAACGCTGGGGGGGACCACGTTGCGCCAAAGGTTTGATGAGCCATTATTGGGGCGCGGCAGGGATCCAAATCTCAGCCGAGGACTGCGCTTGCCTTCCCAGGGGCTGGCTGCGAACCGCGCCCTTCGTAAACCATACTTGTTGAAGTCGCCGAGAGGAGAGGGGCGGAGGGAGCATCTCAGAGGGGGTCGGTTAGATACACCTACATACACCGATCCTGGCCAGGCCGGTCCTGGGCACGGGATCGGTGTATACGCCACCCGAGCTAATCCAGGAGGCTCCATGCACGGATCCTGCGTTTGGGACGGGACCGGCCAGGATCGGCGGAGGTGTCAAGTCGCCCAGTGTCTCGGTAGCTCTCCCCTGCCTGTCGGTGAGACTCCTCGGCGGCGTTGTGGTCGCTGGCGGTGTGCGTTCGAAAGAATGAAGAGGAAGGGGGGTCGGAGCGAGGGAGGGGAGGGTGGAAGGGGAGGCGGGGGAGGGTCGATGAACGAGACCTCATGGCTTTTCTGGCTTTCCTCTGACTCGGTAAACCTCCAGAGGCAGCCTGGTATCTCCGGGGGGAGGAAGAGGAGAAGGAGGAGGAAACGGAACGGGGAGGAGGAGGACAAAAAAGGGGTGGAGTCGCAGGGGGACGGGGATGAGGAGCTGGAGGAGGAGAGGGGAGCAGGGAAACGCAAGGGGAATAGTAGGAGGAGGAGGAGGAGGAGGAGGAGGAGGAGGAGGAGGAGGAGGAGGGCTGGTGGAAACCCAAGACTCAAACATGACATTGGGATACACCCTCCCTCCAAGCTCCATCTTCCTAGGCCCCGTGCAAGGGTTCACTTACATTGAGGGAAGTGCCCCGCTGGGAGACAGCAGTGCGAAAATCCGGAAGCGTGCCAAAACACCACTTTCAGGATTTCAACGCCACGAGTCAACGTAATTGTTGCGTCTTGATAATCCTGAATCTTGCCCAAACACCGTTCCTGGGATTTCGACACCGCGAATCAACGTAGCTGTGGCGCCTTGAAAATCCTGAATCGCATGAAAACGCCCGTTCTGGATGGTGAACTCTGAGAATCCGCGAAATTCTCGATTGTTAAAGCGAGTCTGCGCGGCGCTAAGGCGAGAGCCACAATTTGAAAAAGAGCCGCCCTCAATACGTGAAACCCCTACAAATGTTTAAGACGAGTGTGCGTGGCGCTAAGGCGAGAGCCACATTTTGAAAACGACCTGCTCCCAAGCTTTGAACATCTTGTAACATGATAAAACACATGTGCGCGGTGCTAAGGCGAGAGCCACAGTTTGAAAACGGCCCGCCTTCAACCCGTGAAGCTCTTGCAGATGTTTGAGACGAGTGTGCGCGGCGCCAAGGCGAGAGTCGCATGCTGAAAACCACCCGCCCTCAATCCGTGAAGCTCTCACACATGTTTGAGACGGGTGTGCGCGGCGCTAAGACGAGAGCCACATTTTGAAAACGACCAGCCCTCATCCCGTGAAGCTCTTGCAGATGTTTAACACGAGTGTACGCGGCGCTAAGGCGAGAGCCACATTTTGGAAGAGGCCCGCTTTCCATTTGTGAAACTGTTGCCAGTTGATATGCTTCAGGCTCATAAGTGGTAAGGATGTCTCAGGCGAAACGCCCGGCCCGCCATGCCGACCGGCCCCGGGATGCGACAGGGAGTTTCTCAGCATGAGAAGTGGGCATACTTCTGGCATTGAGGTCTGGTTGCCATGACATGGAACTACCCGCACATGGGAAAGTTGTCCGAGTGGACTCTCGAACGCTCTGAAGACGTAGACCTTGATCTGAGAATTCCACTTCCCCCTGATGCCTATGCCGGCGCAGTGGCGGTGACCACACAAGTTACCCAAGGCTCCATAGGTGCGGCTGGGTTTTCTCCTGTCCGCGGGGATGCCTTGGACCCGCGCCTTTGTAGGCACCAGACGGTACCCTTGTCCGAACTCGAAGGTTATGCGCAGGCCATGAAAAACACTTCGGACCCAGCTGTTTTGCAGCTGACTGTGGTTCTGTTCTAAATTCCGTAAAAGAAGGACCTGGTCTGGTTCCACCTCTGCCTTCTGCTGCCTGGGCCCGTTTCTCGCATGATTATAACGCCAGGCCATGAGACATCCAGCTTGAGATAGTGCAAGCCACGTAACGGTGGCTGGTATAGGTCGGACTGTCTCAGAAGCCTAATTCAGATGTAATGAGGCTGCTAACGACGCAGTCAAACGAGGGGCCGTGTTGGCCCAGCTTCCCCAGGACTCCCTTGCCGAGGTTGCTCGTATGTATGCCCTGGCCAATAAGGCTTTTGTACCACGTGCTCGAAGTAGGATGGCCGAGGTCCTGGCCAAACAGGCAGACGCCCGTGCCCCATGCGCCCCCACACCTGCTGACATCACTGCCGCCCGTGGAGGGCGCCAGGACCAACGGATTGCAGCTAGACTTGACGCCCGACAAGCTACCAACCACTCGGTGGTCTCGCGGCGGGGGTCATTTCTGTTGCACTGTATGCCTGACGGCACCATCCCGCCAGTTGCCCACAAATGAGTGGCCAGCCTCTCCGTGCAAAATGATTTCCCCACCAGGTCCACGGACCCCATCGGCTTCGCTGCCTGCGTGAGCTCTGGTGGTGTGAGGTGTGTGGCGGTTCGGGGCACATGCATTTTCAGATCTTGGGGAAAGCCTGCCAGCGCCCGACAGCTGCTGGCAAGAAAGAACTGGACAAACTCACTCGGGGCCTTCTTGTTCCTCCGAATCGGAACGCCTGGCCAGACAAGGCCGCGGCTCGAGTGAGCTGTCCTGCCCATTTCCTTTGTCGGGGCCCTGGTGTCGGAGCCAGACTTCGGCCCTCGCATATCTAAGGGTGCCAGAGCATGGCCGGCTGGTGTCGTTTACCAGCCACCGCTCCATTGCCTCCCTCCCCGCCCCTTTCCTCGTCCTGCGTAACCCGTGCCCTCGCCATCCTCTCTCCCACCGTGCGCTGCCTCCCATCGCCCCCCTCGGCCCCAAAACTGCTTCTGTTGGGGCGCCAGATGGCCCTGGCACGTCTCCATGACTAGCTGTTCCCAAGCAGCTCGGTGGATACGCCAGACCTGGTAGGTTCTCGCGGGCCTCGGGCGGGGCCTGCGGTAGCGTCAGAGGGGTGGTCAAGTGCGCCAAGAGCAGGTGTGGTCAAGCAGCTGCGTGGATACAACCATCCCAAATGGCCTCCACGGCGGGAAGTTGGCTGAGGACCCTGGCGTCCTACGTACCAGAACTGCATCTAAGCGTCTAGGCGACACTTGACCACTTGGCTCTCCCAGACATCAGGCCGGGCCTGCGGGAGCGTCAGCGGGACTGTGGGACACGCCGAGAGGAGGAGGAGGAGGAGGAGGAGGAGGAGGAGGAGGAGGAGGAGGAGGAGAAGCAGGAGGAGGAAGAGGAGGAGGAGGAGGAGGACGAGCAGGAGGAAGGAGTGAGGAGCAGCAGACAGCAGCAGGAGTGGAACCGCCAAGAAGGAGCACGAGGGAAGAGCGAGGAGGCAAGATGATTTCAGAGCCTCCGAATCGGAGGGTTGAGGAATCACACCAGAACCGTCCAAAAGTCTAGCCCACCTGACCACCACCCCTCCCTCCAGCGCGCGCATCGGCCCCCTTGAGGCCAAATGTGTCACAACAGGGATATCCTTCTCCTCCTCCTCCTCCTCCCCTCCTCCTCCTCCTCCTCCTCCTCTCCTCCCTCCTCCTCCTCCTCCTCCTCCTCCCTCTCCTCCTCCTTCAGTGAACGCTTCGTGGCCCAGGCTTTGCGACATTGTCCTTCGATGTCGAATCACATTCACGGAATGCTGTGACGTTTGCCCAGCCGGCCGTGGGCCGCGCCTGCGCGCTGCCGAGGGGCGGCAGGTGCGCCCGAGGCGAGCGAGGATCGCGGGCCCGAGCTCCCTTGCTCGCTGCCGCTGCTGCTGGTTGGACCTTCCCCCGATTCCTCAGCGACTGCGACTCCTCCTCGTCCTCGTCCTCTTGCTTCTCCTCCTGCTCCTGCTCCTCCTCCTCCTCCTTCTCCTCCCCCTCCTTCTTCTCCTCCTCCTCCTCCTCCTCCTCCTCGTCTTCCTCCTCTTCCTGCTTGGCTCAAAGACAAAACAAGACCCCTAATCATAATAACACTATGAAGACGCAGCCTCATTGAGGTCCCCGTCTTTGCATTCGGGATAATGATTCGGGGTGGTTTGGTTCGATGCATCTGCAGAAATGACTATGGATCCCTAACGTGTTGGGCCTCTTAACTTGGGTCCGCTCCCAAAAGGGTTAGGGATACTTCTCTGACTTACCATTGACGGCGACGAAGATTAGACGAAGACAGGACACATGGCGAGACCAATGGCGGCGACGACGGCGACGACCAGGCGGCGCAGCACGGCGCTGCTCGCGCCAAGCTGACGCCCAGTGGCGCCGAGCTGGAGCGCCGCTACTTTGAGGCCCCGGCTTGCCGAGTCGCTGGCGCCGCCATGAGCCGCCGTGAGTCAGAGGAGGAACAGGTACTCATACCGCTACCCCTCGCCCGTTTTTTTTCGGCCTCCAGGGAGGCCCTCGTCGCCACCGCTGGGTTCGCTTCGAAATCCTGGTCAGAACGCGCCCCAGGAGAGGTCCGGGAATTAGCCTTATCGGTACCTTTTGGTCTCCCCAGTAAGCCGCCGTGAGCCGCCGTGAGCCACACACCGAACGGGTCCTGAGGGAAACGGGTCCTGGAGGCGCTTCGTCGTTTCCGGACCCTGGGGGGCTCCCCACGGGCCCCAGGACCGCCAAGAAGGACCCGTTGAACGTTCGGGGAGACGGGCTTCGGGGGGTAGGATCCTTCCATCCCCCTTATCGCCTATCGATCGCCCCCCCCGTCCGGGAGCGCGCGGCTGTGCTGTCGCGGGCCTGTCGCCGATCCCTCGGCGATGTGCTGCCCGCTCCGGGTATCGGTGCTCCCCCGCCCGAGCCCGTGCCCGTGGCCTCTCCGCCGTGGGCCGCCGTGGCCGTCGCCGCTGCCGTCGCCGGCGTCGGCCGCCCCCCTCTCCTCCGGCTGCTCCCGGCGGGCCTCCGCGCCTCCAGCTCCTTCGCGCCCGGCCGCGGGCGCTCGTCGCCCTCGCGCGTGGCGGGGATTCGGCGGGGATGGACGAGGCAACAAGCCACACCCATGCCCATAAGGGGGATCGGGGAGGGCTAGGGGTGCGTGTTGTCGGATGGGGGTCCCCGCTCGAGCGGGAGCGTTCCCCAGGGTCCGACAACCCGCACCCATACCCACAGCCAGTCCTCCTCCCAACGACCCCCCTATGGGTATGGGTGTGTGTTGTTCGTTCCTCAGGGATCGAGGACCGGGATGGAAGGAATCGAGGGTCGGGGAGCGGGTGAAGCTGGAGGGGGCTCAGGCTCGGGGGTCGGAGGCCGAGCGAGGCGAGGACCAGGGGCGCGCCGAGGAGCGGGGAGCGAGCGCCGCGAGGGCCGCCGAGGCCGCGGGGGGCTCGGGGCTCGGGGGGAGCGAGGCTCTGCATAGACTCCGGGGCCGAGGCCGTCGGGGCCGCGGCCTTGGCTCGGAGGAGGCTCGAGGCTCGAGGATCGCGGTTCTGGATCTGCAGGCCTGCCGAGCCCTTTATAGAGGCCTCGGGAGGCCCTCCGCCTGCTCGCCGCGGGCCTCCGTGGGGTGCACACGGGACCCGCGCCGACCGGGGAGACGGGCGCGAGCGGTGTCGAGGTCGAGGGGCCGGGTTGGCCCTCTTTCCTGTTGTGTGTCTCGGGGGCGGGGGGGGGGGGCTCCAGGTTTTTTTTTTGGCCCGCGGGCAGAACGAAAACATGAGCAATCTAACAGCCACTGCTTCTCGCTGCATTGGCCTGCTCCCGAGCGGCCACCCGAACTCTCAAAGCCTCCAACCAGTCAAGGGGGTCGGGGGCTTCGTCGCCGCGGCATGGTCCGCCTCGAGGGCCTGGGCGGTGCTCGCTCACGGGCAGGTGCGTGGGTTCGTGGATGAGCCTTTTTTTGAAGAGCGAGGGCGAGGGCGCGAGGAGGCTGACCAGGGAGTGGACCAGGGGGCGGATGGGGAGAAGGTGGAGAGAGCGGAGAGGAGAGAGGTGAGGGAACGGAGGGGGAAGACACGGTCCTGGCCCGCCCAGATGGGCGTTGCCTGCCACTGCGGGCGCAGCTCGCCGCATGGGGGCCACGCGGCAGACTCTGATTAGGTTTCTGGGAGTTGTGGGAGGTCCCCCGTTTGTTTTCAGAGGCTCGAGAGGCAGACGACGAGGAGGAGGAGGGGGAGGGACGAGTGGCGGCGCCAGGAGGGCGCCCCCGCGAGCATGGGCGGGTGGTGCCAGCACGTGGCTTCGCTGTGCCTGCCGCCTTCGCGGCGAAGGTGCTGGGGCGTCTGGCAACGGTCTGGAGCCCGAAGCCGGCCTGCACTCGCCGCCCTCAGAAATCGTGGGGGGTAGGGGTAGGGTTGAGTCGGGCCTGTCCCTCTACCGGGGGAATATTCAAACATAGTCAAAATATAGCCTGGGGACTATTTTTTTGCCCATTTTCGATCATTTTTAGTGTATCTTTGAGCGGTTTGTTCATTTTTCGTCCAAAATCGGTCTGTAGGGGGACAGGCCCGACTTAAGGGTAGGGTCGCATGTGGCCCCCTACCCGGGAGGACGGGGGCCTCTCGTCGACGCCGAGCGCTCCAATCTGGTGGACGCGCGCGCGACTGGCCGATGCTATGGGCGCGTGGGTCATAGCGGCGAGTGCCGCCTTCTGCGCGGAACCCGCGCGCTCAGTCGCCAGGTCTCGGCGGCGCTGGCCTCGTGCTTCGGGGAGGGGATGGGGCGGCCTTCCCCGAGCCACGCCGGCGCGTGCCCGACGCGAGCGCACAGTGGACCCTCGAGGCGTGGCGGCCCAGCTCGGGGCGCCGCCGCCGCGCCCCCGCCGCCGTGTGCGGCTCGCCCGCCCGGCTTCTCCTTCGCGTGACCTGCGCTCGCGGCCCCTCGGCGCCGAGGCTCCCCTGGCGCTCCTGCGCCCGCCGCCCCGGGGCCCCAGGGCCGCCAGAGCGGCGGCCGCCTGCGGCCCCCTGCAGGCCTGTGCCCGGGCGCCCGCGCGCGAGGGCCTCGTGCCGCGAGCGCGCTCCGCCGCCCGTGGGCTCCCCCCTTCCCTCCTTCGTGCGCCTCCCGCTCCCGCTGTGCCCGGCTCGGCCCCGCGGCCCGCGGTGCCCCCTCGGCTCCCTCGACCGCGGCCTGGTGCCGAGCCGCCGCGACTGCGAGACGGTGCGGCTCGCCCTCCGCGAGGCCGAGCTGCGCTGCGGCGGCCGCGCTGCGGCGCCCGCGGCGGCTCCGCGCTCAGCGTCAGAGCCGCTCGTGCGCCCTGGGCCGTCGGCGATGCGGCTGCCAGCCCGGGTGGAGGAACATGACCATGACGGAGGCGGGGGCGGGGAGAGGTGACAGAAGGGGGGCGGAGTGGAGAAGGGAGTCAAGGGGAGGAGCGAGCAAGGAGAGGGGAGAAGGGGCAGGAGAGGCATGGAGAGGGAGGAGATTACTTGAGGTGCTGGGGGTGTAGGGGGATCTGGGGTGATGTGGGAGACGGAGGAGAAAGGAGGATGGGTGAGGAGGATCACCAGGAGGAAGAAGAGGGATAGGGGGGCGTGAAAAAAGAGAGGACGATGGGGGATTGGGACGGGGGGGAAGGTCCAGACGGGAAAAGAGACAGCAGTTGATGGAGAGAAGAGGATAGGGGACGGAGAGGGGAGGATGGGGAAGGAGGAGAGCACCAGCAGCATGGGAGGTTTGGGAGGAGACGAACAAGGGAGGACATGGAGGCCCCCGTTCTCACCCTCCTCCTCCACCATCCTCTACCTCCCATTTCATTGTCCTGCTCCTTCTCTGTCTCTTCCATTATCTTTCTGTTGTCCACCCTTGTTCATTCTCCTCTGCGTCCTCCACCTGCTCCTCATGGTCGCCCCCCTTTCTCTTCCTTCTGATCCTGCTGCTCCTACTCCTCCACGAACACCTCCTCCTCCGCCTCCTCCTCCTCTTCCTCCTCGTCATTCTCCTCATCCTCGTCCCGTCCTCCTCTTCTTCCTCCTCCATTCCTGTTCCCTTCTGACTAGTTCCTCCCAGTCGCCTGTCACTCCCCGAGACGTGTCGATAGAGCGGGCCTGGCGTTTCGCCTGAGACTGCCTCACCATGTATGGTTTCGACGCTTGAGATTTGCAACAACTTCACGGATGGAGGGCGGGCCGTTTTCAACATGAGGTGTTTGCCTTAGCGCAGCGCGCTTTCGTCTTCAGAATTTGCAAGAGCTGCACGGATGAAGGACGGATCATTTTCAAGATGTGGTTCTCGCATTCGCGCCGTGCAAATTCGTTCTCGAGTGGAAGGCGTGCCGTTCTCAAAATGGTGCTCTCGCCCGAGCGCCGCGCACATTCGTCTGACACGTTTGCGAAACTTCTGTGGATGGAGGGCGGTTGTTGTTCAACATGTGGCGCTCGCCCCAGCGCCGTGCACATTCTTTGTAACAGCTGCAAAAGCTTCACGGATGTAAGGCGTGCCGTTTTCAAAATGTAGTTCTCGCCCTAACGTCGCGCACAATCGTCTCGAAAAGTTGCACCAGTCTCATTGTAGTTGGGCGGGTCGCTTTCAAAATGTGGCTCCCGCCTTAGCGTCGCGCACATTCGCACTAACATGTCAGAGCAGTTCCGCAGATTCTTATGGTTGGCGTCCCGGAGGCGGCGTTCCAACACGATTTATGGTTGTCAGGGCGCAACAGACGCGTTGCGCAACCGTAGAGTTGATTCGCGGCGTTGAAGTCCAAGGCGTTGTGCTTGCGTGCGCCTGAGGACTATCAGTCGGTTGCCTTTCAACGGGGCATTTCCAGCAGCGAGACAAGATTCTCGCAGGGACCTGTGAAGAGGGAAGTTGGATGGAGGGTTTATGGCAACAGCATTGATGCACATTGGGTTTACACTGGTCCTCCTCCTCCTCCTGCTTCTCCTCTCTCCTCCTCGTCCACCTCCGCCTCCACCTCATGGTCCACGCAACCTCCCCTGCCCCCCCCACCCGTTATCCTCGTGATCCCGTCCCCCCCCTAGCATCCTCCTCGTGGGCCTTCTCACCTTCCATCCTCCTCGCGGCCATTCCCTCCTTCCCATTCCCCCTGCCTGCTCCATCATCATCGTCGTGCTCGTCGTTTTGCATTCCCCTCCCCTCCCCCCTCCCGCAGCAGGCGAAGCAGCGCGAGCGGCGGCTCGCGAACGAACGGTCCTGCCACAGGCGCCGCCACTCCCGCCCGCCTGCGCAGCTCAGGGGATAGGGGATCGGGGGCCCTGCCGCCAAGGCCCGGCCGCGATTCGGTGCTGCTTTTGAGGCGACGGGGTGGAGGAGACGGGGGGGGAGGAGGAGGAAGATGATGAGGAAGAGGGAGAACGAAGGCGGAATAGGAGGAGGAAGAAAGGAGGAGGAGGAGAGGGGGTGGATATGAGGAGGAGAGAGGAGGGAGGAGGGAGGAAGGAGAAGGGAGGAGGGAGGAGGGATGAGGGAGGGAGGGCGGAGGGAGGAGGGAGGGAGGGAGGGAGGAGGAGGGCGAGGAATACAATGACGTCCGCCAGCACTGGCCTGACAGAGGAGGAGGAGGAGGAGGAGGAGAAGGAGGAGGAGGAGGAGTAGGAGTAGAAGAAGGACGAGGAGGAGCAGGAGCCGGAGCAGGAGCAGGAGCAAGAGGACGAGGAAGAGGAGGAGGAGGAGGAACAGTAGCAGGAGCAGGAGCAGGAGCAGGAGGACGAGGCGGAGGAGGAGGGGGTGGGGGGAGAGTATGCTAGCCAGCCTGGACCCCAAACAGTGTGTTTCCAGCATTCTATTTTGCGCAGTATGTGTTGACCAATCTATATGGTGCAAACGTGTGGTGCAACGTATGTTGTGCAATCCACTTCGACTGTCTTGAAGCTGTCCTCTCCACTGCTCGTGCAAACATCCCACCCTCCCACCCGCAACTTGGTCGCAAGACATCTTCAGACAAGACCGTGACGGTAGGTACTGCGTGGCACTTGGCCACGACACCGATGCCGACGACGACAGCGACATCGACGACGACGGCGCCGCCGACAGCGACTGCGACGACACCGACGACGTCTCCAATGTTTTCGACGACGACAACGACGACGACGACACCGACGACGACGACAACGACGCCGACGACGACGACGAAGACGACGACGACGTCGCCAACGGAGACGACGACGAGGGAGGAGAAAAAACGACGACGGCGACAACGACGACAACGACGATGGAGGAGGGAAGACGGCGACGACGCCAACGACGAAGAAGGAGGAAGGACGGCGACGCCGACGACGACAACGACGAGGGAGGAGGGAAGACGACGACGATGACAACGACGACAAAGACGACGACGACGGCGACGAAATAGGAGGGACGACGACGAGACGCCGACGACGGACGACGACGACGAGGGAGGAGGATAACGACGAGGGAGGAGTGAAGACCACGACGACGACGACGACGACGACGACGGCGACGAAATAGGAGGGACAACGACGAGACGCCGACGAAGACAACGAGGGAGGAAGGACGACCACGGCGACAACGACGACGGAAACGACGACGACGCCAAAGACGACGAGGAAAGACAGAAGACGACGACGGCGACGACGACGACGACGACGACGACGAGGGAGGAGGGAGGACGACGACGACGACGACGACGCAAGAGCGCGCGCGCACAATTTTGTTGAAAACCCGTGTTGCGAAACCTTGCGTTTTTGTAGGTTTTTTGGACGCACGATTTCGACATTCTTCCGAAACCGAAGGTTTTTGAAGGATTTCGGCATACGCCCGCGACGACGCGCGCGTCTGCACTTCGTCCCATTTTTTGCAGAGGATTCTCGCGACGGCACACGCGCAAGAGCGTTCGACAGATTTCGACATGCGCGCGCGCGAAGCCCGTTTGGTAGCATTTTGTGAAAATCTTGGAAAACCTATGGTTTTCTTAAGATTTCGCAAGAGCTCGCGCGTAAGTTTTTTTTTGAATCAGTGTTGCGAAACCATGTTTTTTTTTTATTTTTTTGGGGGGGGGGGAAATTCAATTTTGAAATCTCTCCGGAACCGAAGGTTTTTGAAGGATTTCGGCATGCGCGCGCCACGACGCGCGCGTGTGCACTTCGTCCCTTTTTTTATAAGGGACTCGTGAACAAGTGCTATGTTAGAACAAAACATGTCACCGCATAGTGTTTTTTACAAGGGAGCCGCAGGGGGGGGGGAACCCGGCTTGGCTGGGATGGTATGAATTCATATTTAGGATGGACATGTGGTCATAATCATATGTAATTTACAGCACGCGCGGGGGACCCGGATAAGTCCGGGGGGGGGTAGAATCTATTAGTTTTTTAGAAAGGAGAATCGATACTGTGTCATCGATCGTGTTCAAGCTACGAGGCGCGATCTATGTGGCGCACTCTATGTGGAGCAATATCAATCTATGTGGTGCAATGTATGAGTATGTGGTGCAATCGATGTGGTGCAGTATCAGTTGTGCAATAGTTGTGGTGTCATCTATGTGGACATGGTGCACAATATGTAGTGCGATCTATGTGTGGCAATCTATGTGGTGCAATTCACTTCGACTGTCTTGAAGCTGTTCTCTCCACTGCTTGTGCAAACATCCCACCCTCCCACCCGCAACTTGGTCGCAAGACCTCTTGAGACCGTGACGGTAGGTACCAAATGGCACTTGGCAACGACACCGACACCGACGGCGACAGCGACAACGACGACGACGACGCCGACGATGACTACGACGACACCGACGACGACTCCGACGACTTCGACGACGACGACGACGCCGCCGACGACGACGACGCCGACGACGACGACGATGACGACGCCGACGACGACGATGACGACGCCGACGACGCCGACGACGACGACGCCGACGACGACGACGACGCCGACGACGACGACGCAAACGACGACGCCGACGACGACGACGATGACGACGAAGACGACGACGACGATGGCGACGCCGACGACGCCGACGACGACGACGCCGACGACGATGACGACGCCGACGACGACGACGATGACGACGCCGACAACGCCGACGACGACGACGCCGACGACGACGACGCCGACGACGACGAAGACGACGACGACGACGACGACGACGGCGCCGACGACGACGACGACGACGGCGCCGACGACGACGACGATGACGACGCCGACGACGTCGACGATGACGACGACGCCGACGACGACGACGCCGCCGACGACGACGACGCCGACGAGGCCGACGACGACGGCGTCGCCGACGAAGACGAGGACAACGACGAGGGAGGAGGGAGGACGGCGACGACGCGAACGACGAAGAAAGAGGGAGGACGGCGACGAAG